ACAGCGGACCAACACAAAGTCCGCAATACTGCAGATGCTGCACCAATCGGTATGTCAATTTCACTCTCCATTCTTCTCTCCTGAACTCCTACCTTTGAGGCAGAACTTCACGTTAAACCCTAAGAGAGCAATCCACCCTTTTCCAACTGAGGACCATGGCTTCAGATTTGGAGGTGCTGATCCTCATTCCAGCAACTACACACTTAGCTGAGAACCGCTCCGGTAGAGCTGAAGAGGATGGTACAATGATGCTAACAGGACCACATCATCTGCAAAGAGCAGAGATGGAATCTTGTGGCCACCAAACCCAACTCCATCACACCCTGACTGCTCTGAGAATTTCTGTACATAAAAGTTATGAACAGAATTGTTAACAATGGGCAGCCCTGGCAAGGTGCAACTCCCACCTTGAAGGGATCCAACATACTGCCGGCAATGTGAATCAAACTCATGCACTGCTTGTACAGGGACTGAACAGCCTGTAATAAGAGGCCCCCAATCCCATACTCACGGAGCATGCCCCACATTGTACCTCAAGGAACACGGTCAAAAGTTTTCTCCAAGTTCACAAAACACATGTAGACTGGATGGACAAACTAACCATGGCCCCCCAAGGACCCTGGTGAGGGTAAAGAGCTGATCCAGTGTTCCACGGCCAGGAAGGAATCTGTTTTATTCCTCCTGGATCTGAGGTACGACCAGCAATCAGACTCACTTCTCCAGTACCTCTGAATAGACTTTACCAGGGAGGCTAAAGGCTCCAGTATACTCGCGCATCCTGTCAGCCTTGCGGAAACTGTGCACACTGTCCGCAGAGGGTTGAGACTTTATACTCCAGCATTCACCCTGAGCGGCTGTAGACCAGCTCCTCAGACAAGGGGCGTTTACCTTCCGGACAAATTGAGGTCGCCGATTGGTCATTTGCTGACATGACTACTGGATTGATTGACAGGTTGCCAAAAAAAAAAAAAAAAAAACGAGCTGGCAGCTGCAGCGGTGTTCTGTGTTTATATGTTGCTAATAAAAAGTTCTAAAAAACAAAAAAACAAAACAGAAAGCACTGCTCCTGCAGCCCACACATCAGACCAGCCCATCAGAAAATCTCTAGACCCTCCCGCAGCCATGCTGGACCTGATATTAATTCACTTGTGACAAATTCCTTCATTTCTCACCATTTCAATCAAGGAGTCAATGGAGGAGGAGGAAGAGATCGCTTGCCTCTTGGACAAAAAACAAAAACAAACAAAAGAAAAGGTCATTAAACCAGATCAGGGATGAAGAAGGGAAATTTAATACATTGGTGTTGCAGACAAAACAGTCGTCGCCAGGCAGTTTATTGTGTGACACCGAATACGTGCTCGCGATTATAAAAAAAAAGCTTTGCACAGACATGCCCTGCGCGTGTCCACTTCAAATCTAATCCAGTACGCGCAGACCTCCGCGGACTGACGCACGCGCAAGTATACTGGAGGCTTAAGGAGAGTGATGCCCCTATAATTGGAGCACACTTTCTTGTCCCCCTTTTTGAAGAGGGGAACCATCACCCCAGTCTGTCTATCCAGTGGCACTGCTCCCAAGCATACAGTGATTTTATTTTATTATATATATATATATATATATATATATATATATATATATATATATATTATTTTGTTGTTGTGTTTGGACCTCCTGTCCACACACAAATGGAGTTTTCATAGACAAAAACATAATTTTTATTGATGCTGTCCAAAACGGAGCTTTAAAAAAACTTTATACACTTCAAACATGTTCAAACACTGTGCACCGAAGAAACCAAACGTCCAATAAAGTAGTTTAGTTGTTCTACTTCTGGTTTGAATGATCCAGATTCCATTGTCAGTAAACTTGCCAATCTTTAACCCATACACACAGCTGTACATCTCAGTATATGTATTGTTTTTAAGCTTGGAAGGTTTGAAAAGATGTTGAAACCAGCCACACAAGTTTTTCCTGTCATGACTTGGTTATTGTACAGAAATAGGCTGAAAACATGGTTTTAACTTGCAAAGCCTGTCACAACCAACAGCTATTCAACTTTACAGTTTCCTGAATCACTTTCACCTCTTGATTTTTATCATTACAAGGAAATACCTAAAGGAGGTCGAGCATTTCTGAAGAATTCAAGTTTTTGATCAAGATGAAATTGTGGATACATGGTTCACACTTGCTGTATATTGTAGTTTTTCAACCTCTTAACAATCTGAAAAGCACTTTACAGAGTATCACAATCACTTTGTCTGTCTGTTTGTCTGTCTCTCTCACTCTCTCTCGCTCACATATACTCACCCCCCACACACACATATAAATATATATACTGCATATATATATATATATATATATATATATATATATATATATATATAT